TCAACAGCCACATTTGTCCCTTGCACTTAAATAACGTCTATGTATTTTGGGGGGGCGGGGTTATCAGAACACAAAGCTGCACGTTGAAGGTGGTGTTGCAAAATTGGGCTTTGAAACGCAACATAATCTTGTTTCCCTGTGACTGAGGTTATGACTTAGGTGACATCTTACAAAGGATCCCCCTGTCCTTTCTCACGGCGACTCAAACACACCTTCAGATAGAGACGAGCCACTTGGGCGTGAAGTGGAGCTGCATCTGTTCAAAAGCCACCAGGCAGGTGGGGAAGGGGTGACTCCGAACCCCCCGGGCGGGACTTGTTTGCTTTCTTCTTGGCGGGAGGACAGGGGCTCCGCCCCCTCCTGCTCTCAGAGAATGGTCTGGAGTGCAGTTAGCCTTGGCCTCACGGGGGTGCAGACTGGAGCTGCCTCTGAGACAGCAGCCACGCCGGCATGTGCAGGGCCTGTGCTGTGCCTGCACGCTCGGTGCTCGATGAACGAGGAAGAGGTGACTAGGAGACACCGAGCACACGGAAGGTGCAGGGGCTTCTAGCGCTCAGTATCACACTATTTTTGTGAAAATGTCACAGAAGAGTGTTTCAGCTCACAGGCTGGGAACCCACGGGCCAGACTTCCAAGCACAGTCTCCATCAAAGAATTGGAAACTTAGAAGGCTTCCAAGAAAGATTTCTCCATACAAGTAAATTGAAAATGTTGCTTGAATGGGAATCTTTCCAGTGTTTTCCCTGTTACCAAATTCTTGGTACTGTGAGCCGGCCCTGCATCTGTAGCCCTTGCTCTGAAACTGGAGCCCCGGACAGGGGCCACGCTGGGGTGTGTGCCAGACTAGGCGAACTACAGTGCCTGGATGTAAACATGAGGCCTGAATTTCAATGCCGAAGTTTATTGGGCCAGCTTGTCACACTCAAGTGACTCCAGGCCCCATTAGACACATGCAGACGCCGGGAGCTGAGATGGACACCTCTCCCGGACCGGGCAGGCGGGGCGGAACTGGGAAGCAGAGAATGGGTTTGCCCATCGCTGTGTGGGTTTCTGCCCTCTGATTCCTGGGCCTCATCCCTGGGGATGGGGACAAAATAAACAGAGGAGAGTTTGGGGGTTCAGCCCCCAGAGACTTGGGGCCTCTGACAAGCCCTCATCCAGTGAAGCAGCAAAGTGAAAAGAATAGAAAAATCTAATCCAGGGCTGGGCTGAGAAAATGGACAGCTCTCAGGTCCTTCGGACCCCAAGAGCCCAAGTGCAATGGCAGCAATGGACTTCCCAAGTGCAATGGACTTCCAAAGCCTGCCCGTCCCCCAAAGCAAGGCACAGCACTAGGCTGAAGTTGGCCCAGCAGACCGGAAGAAGCCTCCGGGCCGAGATGAGGACACTGCCCACGGTCTGCCTGGCGATGCAGCATTTGCCATAAAGACTAAGGCTGGGGCTCGAGGCCAGGCCAGGTGGACTGAGGGAGGACTGAGGCAACCGCCCACCTGCCGCCCCTCCGGCCAGGCCGGCTGTGCCGTGCTTCTGGTGAGCACCTTGCCTGCCCCCGGCCCGGCCTCCTCCTGGAACTTATCTCATGTCCAGAGAGAGTAAGAAAAGGAGAGGAACAGGGGATGCGGGAGAATCCTAAATTAACAAAGTAAGTGTCCGAAAGAGACTGGAGCTTCAAACTGGATGGAACTGAATTTCTTTGGTGGTGAGATTCAGTATTCCACAGCTCTCAGGGGTTGAATTGTATCTTCTCAAAAGATGCACTGAAGTCCCAACTCCTGTACCTGTGAATATGGCCTCGTTTGGGAATCGGGTCTTTGCGGACGCACTGAGTTCAGATGAAGTCACTAGGTGGGGTCTTATTCCTGTGTGCCTGATGTCCTTATCAGAAGAGACACAGAGACCGGGACCTACAGGAGAGTGCTACGTGACCATGGGGCAGAGATCGGAGGGAGCCGCCTACAAGCTAAGGACGCCGAGGACTGTGGGCAGCCCCTGGAAGCTGAGATGACGGCGTGAAACCTTCTGCCGTGGAGCTGCAGCAGAGATGGGACCCCTGCTCACGCTTGGACTGCAGACCTGCAGACTCCAGAACTATGAGACAGTGCCTTTCTGTAGCTGGAAGCCATCCAGTTCATGGCCGTTGGTGCAGGCAGCCCTAGGACAGGAGTGCAGCCCACCGACCGGAACGGGGGGCTGCCGAGCTGAGCCGGGCCCGACGCTGAGAAAGGAAGACACTGCTGTGCCCGGCCTCACGACGACGTGTGCAGTGCTCTCAGGTTTGAGCCCGTGTTTTCCCCCGGACGCGGTGACCCTCTGCCCTCCGTGTATGGCTCTGCCCCTGCCCAGGTCTGTATCTGCACCAGCGACATTGTCTCATGCACATCGATTCAGCAAGTGGCAGGAGGCTTGTGCTTTTCCTGGTTCTTCTTTCATGGTGCTAGCTAGGCAGGCTTGAATAGTGTTTACAGCCATTTGTACTTTGCAGAAAGAAAACCCCTCGGGCCAAGGTCTCATCAGGCAGGCGGTGACTGAGATTAGCGCCATCGCAATATTTTCTGTGTCCCGTCAGGGCCTGGAAGTCCCCTCCCCGCCCCATCCAAGCTGCACTCGCTGTTTATGAGAGCGCCTGAGATCCCACTGTGTAGTGTGTTCTTTTGGTTCTCAAAGGTGTCATCAGTTTTTCAATTAAAGTGCGAATGTCCCCTGAGAAGGCTCACAGCCTAAGCTCTTAGCGACAGCCAGCTGATGTTTACTGTGTGAGCTCTGTGCTGGGAGCTGCAGGAGACACTGAGGGTGGGCGCCAGGGCCAGCTGCTTCCAGGGTGGCCTGGAGCTGAGTCGTCCTCATCCACAAGCCACATTTGACGAAGGCCCTTGCAGGAGCAGTGACTGTGAACTTGGACATCTCAAACTGTATTTTCAAAACCAGAAAAGCATGCGTTAATAAGGAGTCCTGTCTTCCTGTCCATTCTGAGCCAGCTGGGCACTGGCTCTTGGCCTCGGGCAGGTTGCTTGTCCTTTCTGAGCCTCAGGCTGCTGCTCATCTGTGCAATGAGATGATAGTTACCTCCCTCGTCAGGCGGTTACCAGATACAAACAGGACGCACTGTTGAACGCGCCGAGCCCAGGGCTTGGCACAGAGTGAACAGTACATGTCAGTGTCACCAGTCTGTGAATTTCCTCTCCCTGGGTGAGTGTATGGCCGAATACATCTCTTCACGCAGTGCTGGCTTTGTGCTGAGATCATCTGCGTTGTTCGAGTGAACGCACCTATCAGTCGGTTGCAGAGCAGTAAGACCCTTGTACACAGGGGGGAGAGCCCACACTGTATGCCATGCCGCAAGTGCTCCTCTCTCTAACCACCACCCTGCTGTGAGTGCTCCTCTTTCCAACCAGCACCCTGCACTGTGAGTGCTCCTCTCTCCAACCACCACCCTGCTGTGAGTGCTCCTCTCTCTAACCACCACACTGCTGTGAGTGCTCCTCTCTCCAACCACCACCCTGCACTGTGAGTGCTCCTCTCCAACCACCACCCTGCACTGTGAGTGCTCCTCTCTCCAACCACCACCCTGCTGTGAGTGCTCCTCTCTCTAACCAGCACCCTGCACTGTGAGTGCTCCTCTCCAACCAGCACCCTGCACTGTGAGTGCTCCTCTCTCCAACCACCACCCTGCACTGTGAGTGCTCCTCTCTCCAACCACCACCCTGCAGTGAGTGCTCCTCTCTAACCACCACCCCGCACTGCAAGTGCTCCTCTCTCTCACACACACATGCCTCCCCTTCTGTTAGGGTGACAATCACTTCCTTGGACAGTGTGTGACAGTTGGAGCGCTCTAGACTTTTCCTTGCGTCACCGCCCCTGGAGACGGGTGGCCAGAAGGGGAGGGGACTGGAACTTTGTAAAGTGGAACCTCTGCTAAGAGTGTGACGTTTCTGGGAGGCAGAGCGGGAAAGAGCTGCTGCAGGAAAGAGCCCTGACGAAGGCCCTTCTCCCCCCTGCCCCGCCCCCCAGGAGGGAAGAGCGACCCACAGGGGACAGTGAGGAAGGCTCATCGGTGGCCAGCTCCCAGATGAAATAGCAAAAGAGGAAAAAGGAAATTTTTAGAACCCAGTTACGTTGAACAGGGCCCCAGGGGAGCCTGAGGTGAGAGAGGAAGAAAGAGAAGAGATTCCCACCCCACGGACTGGGTGCTCCCGTGCCGCACCCGGGCAGGGCCTCGCAAAACGCATGCGCCCAGGAGAGATGGACGCGGCTGCGCAGAACACACGGGCGACCCGATCACGTGGCGAGCCAGACTGCCCGTAGTGTTTCAAGTCCTGGGCCAGGCACCGTGATGCCCCGCCCTGCCCGGGGCCCACTGTCTAGTTGGGGAGGGGTGGTGACCTTGAGAGAACACACAGTCGTCTGTACCGCAGCGCAGACCTGGGCCCACCCAGGCAGAGCCCGGGAAGACATTTGCCCACCCAGGCCACTCCTGCAGGTCCCGGGGTCCTGAGGGTTGCCAGGAGGTTGCTGCCCCTGTCCAGGCAGGACTGACGGGAACAGTGGCGGAGAGGAGGAGGTTGGGAACTCCTTAGGAGATAGCGGGGAGAAAGGCTGGGGACCAAGTGGTGGGGGAGCAAAGGTCGCGAGAGACCAAAGGCAGCTCTCAGCAGCTCAGGGAATGGGGATGCTGCTGACTGGGGTGGTGGGAGGGGGGGGCGGTGGTGGGAGAGAGGAGGGGGACAGTATGGGGAGGCATCAGAATGGGGAAGCAAACATGGAGAAAGGTCAAGGTCAGGGGAGTGGGAATCATTCTCATTCTTTCTTGGATTTATTTTTTGTCTTCTCCCCAGGAGTAAGTATTTTTCTACTGATGAAATTGTGTTGGATCGGAACTAAAATAGATGCAAAATGTGACTTTTCTTGGGGGTTGGCAGGTGGGGAGGAGACTGTGGGGTGGGCGGGCCTCTGGGGTGCCCGTCAGCCTCACCTGTTGCTCATTCACTTTTTTTTTTTAGCAGGAGCTGGAACATGGTCAGGCTCACAGCAGGTCCCCGGCCACCACCTGTCAGCCGCCCCTCCCTTCACCCAGCTCTCAGGGCAGTGACGGGGAGGTCCCAAAATGCCTCCAGTGCTTTCTCAGGCGGGCTCGTTTCTCAGGACCTCACTGCAGTGGAAGGAAGATGGACCTCTCCATCCACCCGCTGCTTGCTTCTCCCGGAGGTGAGCGGGGAACCCCTCACCTGGAGGGTTCAGGGTGAGCTAGCCACAGGAGTGCTGCTGGGTGATGATAATCATCAGGGTCAGGTGTGTCACTTCTTTCAATGGCAGGTCCGGGTAGGGCTCCACGCAAAGTAATCCTTTCCCCTTATTATAGAAAATTGTACTTTAACCAGAGATTTTTCTAAAATGTGTGATAAATTGGGTCAACCTCTTTAAAAGGAGCCCAGATTGCTTTATAAATTCTATAAATTCTATCATCGCAGGCTGTGCGCGTGCCGACAGTGCCGACCGAGACTCCTGTTTCTTCCTCCTCGGGGTGGCTGCTGTCAAACCAGCTGTTTTCGTGAGGGGATTCCGCAGGGAAAGTGTGTTTGCCGGCGGCGCTCTCATTCCAGGGCAGGGGACGTCAGACGTGCACACCTGGGCCCCCAGCCCCCTCCGGGGGGGGGGGCGTTGGGAGGGGAGGGGCGCAGGTTATTCCAGAGGCTTCAAGAGTAGCAGCTAATAGCTCAGTTCTTCCCATTCATTCTTTCCCTTTAAAACACGGTAAAATGTATGTCTTTTAAAAACTCAACGCAACAGCAGGGGAAAATTGGGGGCAGCCAGATTCCATTAATCATGTACTTCAGGGAGCCGCTGTAGGTACTGACGGCAGCTTTGTAGGAATCTAGAAGGGAACATTGTAACGTCAAAATGATTTGGAAGTTTCTTATGGGAGCCAATTCTTCACAGCGCAATCATACAAAGCTAACATCTTACAGAAAGGTTTTACTTCTATATAGTCCTGTAGGAAGCTTATCTAATTTAAAAGCCTTAAGGTCCGATTTTAAAGCTTCTGACTGACTTTTGTGTAAAAACCAAACAGTAACTGCGAGTTCAAAGTATTATTGCTCTAACTTGAGATAGGAAAGATCGTTAATTCATGTACCTGCAAATTCAGATAAGTGTTTATATTATGTGTTACATACAAAACTTAAAAATTTTTAAGATTTTTTTCCTTCTGCATGACACCATTTCTATATTCTGTCGCTCACTGAAGTTTGTAAATTCCTTTTTTAAAAATGTAATAGTTCTGCCCCGTCTGGGTAGCTCAGTTAGTTAGAGCGTGGTCCTGATACGCCAAGGTTGTGGGTTCGATTCACGGTCCGGGCACATGCGAGTCAGCCAATGAATGCATGGATAAGTCGAACAACGAGATGGTGTTTCTCACACTTTATCTCTCTCTTTCTCTCTCACAACTCAGTAAATTAAAAAAAAAATTGTTAAAGAAAGGGAGGCCCTGGCCGGATAGCTCAGTTAGTTAAAGTGTCATCCCAACATACCAAGGTTATGGGTTTCATCCTTGGTCAAGGCACCAAAAATAAATATATAAAAAATAACAAAATGTCATAGCACCGCATACAGCTATTAAAAGAATCTGGCAAGTCTATATGCACTGACATTCAATTATATTTATTTTTATGCATGTACATATAAACACGTGAGCCATATGACACACTCAGTGATGATTGCTGTAATCGTTACAGCATACTCTAAGACTCTGTTTTTCTTTCTTTGGAGATATATTGGACTAAGAAGCAATTGGCAAGCATATAAATCCGAGCTCAAGGTCAGGTTTTAGCTCATTTAATACCCCAGCTTTGAAACAGAAACCCCGAAGTTATATATATCACCCAGGCACAACTGTCTCGGGAGGCACGGAACGGTGGACTTGTATCTCTGCTCCCCTGCGCCCAGCCCACCGCGATGAGCATGGCGGCTCCCTGCGTGCGGGGCGAAGGCTGCTGCTTCTGACATCCTGGCCGCGGTCCAGCCTCCACATAATCTAATTTCAGAAATCACTTCCCTCCTGCAGTCCTGTCTCTGCAGCAGATGGCCGCGCGCCAACAGCCCTCAACTGCAAGCGCGGCCTGAGTTATCTTTGTCAGCAGGCAGACGCTGATCTGTTTTTCTCTCCCTTCCTACCCACTTAGAACTGTGACATCCAAACCCCGGAGCTCCATGCTTTCAAGAAGAATAGGCAGCTCAATACTTTCAATAATAATAGGCAGCAGCACTTATGGAACAGAAAGTTCCGGAGACTCTGCCGTCCAGGGCAGAGTGGAAATGACTGAACATCGTGACCAGGGCCGGGAGGAAGTAGAAGGAATCCGGGAAGAGTCCAACCAGAGGGGCGGGGACAAAGTCCAAGAACAAGTTTAATGGGATGAGGGAATTGAAGAAGTGGAACCCAGGGCCATAAAGGGAAATCTGAGAGGAAAGGCGTGCTCATATTTTGCATTTCTGCAAAAATTTATGGGTTTAGCAAACCCATTTCCTACGCGGAGGGCTCCCGCGAAAACAAGTGCTGGCCGCAGAAGCACTGGCCAGCGAGAGCGCACTGGACTCCCTTAAGGCATAGAGCATTGTGATGGGTGCTTTATGTCCCTTCATAAAACATCGACTTTTACGTTTTCAGATATGTTAACCAGACGGACTTTATGGATTATGAAAAAGTGAGAGGGACTTAAAATAACACGAGTTTTGTCAACACAGAACAACCAATGCCACAGGCCGTTGTTTGACGCTCTGTCTTTTGAGGGTGAAGTCCAAGGTTACAGTCTTTCACTGTGCCTTGGAGGGTGTCTGCATCTGGGTTACACGGGAGCCAGCAAGCTGGGCTGCTCCGCTGCAAACGCGCTCTCACAGTTCAGGGCGGCAGGCTTCCAGGGCCCTCCGAGGCCCCTGCCTCCTCCTTGGGGCCGCCTGGAGATGCTTCCCAGCTCAGGGGTGGCGCAGGGCCGGTGTCGCCCCTGACCAAGAGAGTCTCTGTGGGATTAAGCATGGTTCTTAGATCTGCAATCTTGAGCAGTCTTCCAAACAAACATGGACCTTTTATCATCCAGGAGTGATCCTACCAGGCGACCTTTCTTTCACATAGCGTATCCGTCTTCTCCCAAAGACAGATAAGGTGGGCGCCAGGGACTGACCGGTGGGAATGAAAACTGGTCAGATGAATCCAAGGGAAAGAGAGAACCGTCACCCAGGTGCACAGGTGTGTGCTCAGCCTCCAGCTCTACCTGTCACATACACACGTGCAGGTGGTCTGAAGGTGGGTTCAGTGGAGGGGGGATCCGGATGTTTGGGTTGAATGCAGACTTTTGGGATCGTGCTCAGTCCTACCACCTTCTCTCTTTCAGGACTCTGAACAAGGCAGCGAAGTGAATCACGCCAGCCCCTGAGCGGCCCGCTGAGAAACCCGTTCGCATTTGGCTGAGCGGTCTTCAGGAGGGAGAGATGGGGCCTCCCGTGCCAAGGCCATTCCCTGGAGCGATGGCTGGACTTGAGTCACGTGGCCGTCTCCTGGTCGCTAGGTCCCAGGGCGCGGGGAGAGAGCCTGCCTGAGCCGGCGAACGTCACGGGCACGCAGCGATACAAAGGCACTTAGTGGACGTAGCCGTCGCTGGACTCCTGTTCATGCCCGCACAGAGCTGCCCTTGCGCCCGTGGGGACAGGCGTTCCGTAGGCCATTCTGGAGGGACACTGCTATTGTGTGTGTTCCTGGAGTCGTGGGGGATGGGGCCCCGGCCGACTTAATGGGCAGAGTTTACAGGGCAGGAGGAGTCTCTTCTCCCCGGTGCTGGGAAGGAGAGACGAGAGCCACAACTTGAAAAAAAGAATTTTCCAAAAGCAAGAAGGGAATTTTAAGGGACCTCTTTTTCAGGTGGATCTCAGGGTGGCGGGAAGGATGACTTGATTGTCAAAGCCATCAGCTCAATGCCGTGCTACCAGAAGTCCCAGCGAAACACTGCACGGCCCTGCAAAGGTTCTGGAAACAAAATTCAACTCTGGAAACATTGCCGGGCACCTCCTATGTGCCAGGAAATGTGCTGAGTTTCTGGGGGCAGAAAGGTGAAGGCATGATCCTTTCCCTCGAGGAGTTTAGATTTGGGTCATTCTCATAGGAAGATTCTGCAAGAAAATATAACAAAGTGGTTTATTTTATCTCTCATTATTTTTAACTTTTTAGAAGAGAGGAGGGCACTGTAGCTGAACAGTTTTGATGCCTATGCCCCGAGCAGAAATTCCGGTTCATCTTTGGGAGATTTGCTTTCATTGGGCACCTGGTTAGTCAAACAGAGAAGCCAGTCCTCTCTACGGTGAGGGTGACCTGGTGTAACCTCCTGATCATCCCCACGTCCCTGGCTCTCGGTCTCTGTTCCTGTTGCTGACCCACCCCACCTTTCGAGGGTCCTGTCCCTTCTTATTCTACAGTCGTGACCATGGGCGTTTCGGCCATGCTCAGGGCTTGCACATTCTTCCTACACGCCAGTCATGTCTCAGTCTGTCTCTCCGGGTCCAACCTCTGTCCAACCTCTGTTCCGAGCACCAGCTTCCCATATTCTCCCCACACTCTTCCCAGATGTACCCCCCAGTCCATCCTCTGGCCCCCTGGCCAGACTGGTGCTTAAAGCTGCCCAGGGGCTTGGTTCTCTTTGTTCTAAGGATAAAGCCCTCACCGTGCCTGCAGGAGCAGGCATGCCTGGCTCTTGCTTGCTTCTTTGGCCTCATCTCCTGTCACTTCGTTTACTCGTTTTCTTTTGGAAGGGCCCCAAAAGTTCTTTCCCACCTGAGAGCCTCAGATTCACCATTTTATCTGGAATGGTCCAACTCAACTCACCCTCCAGGGCACAGCTCAAATGCTGCTTCCTCTAGGGGATCCTCTCGAGCCCCGGGGCCATGTTAACTGTCGTTGTCATACTCTCTGCATCTTGAGCAGAGACATAAAACAAGAATAACAGTCAGCTGTGGCTGGTGTGGTTCAGTGGCGTGAGCGCCAGCCTGCAAACTGAAAGGTCACCAGATCGATTCCCAGTCAGGGCCCATGCCTGGGTTGCTGGCCAGGTCCCTAGTTGGGGGCGAGCAAGAGGCAACCCATCAATGTTTCTCTTTCACATCGATGTTTCTCTTCTTCTCTTTCTCCCCGCTCTCCTCTCTAAAAATAAATAAATAAAATCTTTAAAACATAACAGTCATGCATTGCCTCACAACGGGGACACGTTCTGAGAAAAGCATCATTCTGGGATTTCATCATTGCGCACACGTCCCGGAGCACCAGCGACACAAACCTAGATGGTCTAGCCCGTGCTAGGCGGGGAGGCACAGCCTGTCGCTCCCAGGCTGAGGCCTGAAGAGCACGTTGCTGTGCCGAACACTGTAAGCAACTGAACGCAGTGGTAAGCGGTGGTGTAAACATGGGAAAGACACAGTCAAAATATGGTATAGAAGATTAAAAATGGCGCACTGTGCAGGGTAGTTAGCAATGAATGGAGCTTGCAGGACTGGAAGTTGCATAAACCATTAACGTAGTTGTTTGTATCATCATCAAGTGTTGTGAGTGTACATGACCAATTGTGTGTGCTGTGTTTGTATACGACAGGCAGCGCAGCAGGCCTGGGGCCACCAGTGTCGCCACAGGCACATGGGTAATGTCTGTGTCACAACATTACAGTGGCTATGACGAGGCTAGGCGAGAGGAATTTTCCACTCCCTTATAATCTATGGGTCCATCGTCACTGACCCAAATGTTACGCAGCAAATGGCTGTATTTGCAAAATCGTTTCTTTACTATCTCCCTCAGGTCATGACAATTAGACAGACTGCATTCCTCCTTCCTGATACAGTGCCAGGTGTGGAGTAGACATTCCACAGATGAATTAATGAATGAGTGAGTTTGTGTGTTGGGAGCTCAATTCCTCCTCCCAAGAAAACGTGAATGTTCATCTCCACCGTAGACAGAGCTGTGTCTCTGCAGGTTATTTTTTTATTTAGTGGAGCGGGACTGAGACTGCAGGTGAGGAGGAACTTTCTCTCTCTTGCTGGACCGTGATGCATTGCAGCCTGGATCTGGGGAGGGCCCTCCGGCTCCCTGTACAGGGCTTGGGCTAAGGAGAGGGACTTCTTGTAGGAAGCCTTGAAGACGGTTTCATGTGCTGGGGACCAACATTTGGTTTTAACTTTTTTCTCTTCTGTGATGCTTTTCTGATTCCCCAAGCCTCCTGTTAGATTGTGTTGCCCCTCACGGCTTGGTTTTAGGGTGCTGGCAGGGACTGGGTAAGGGGAGTCCAGGACTTCACTTGGGCAAAGCTGTGGGTGGGGGTGAGGGGTGGGGAGGGGAGTGCTACGAGACAATTTGCAGTAGGAGTGGCCTTGGGGAGCACAATGGCCGGGGCGGTCAGGGCCAGCAGGGGGAGATTTGTAGGAAAGCTAGTATTCACTTGGAACGTGGAGGTACATCTGGGGAAGGGAACCTGGACAGTGCCTGGACTGGCGGAGGTGACATGCCCTGCCATTCTCAACTCATTGCCAGTCATCTCCGAAGTCACCCTTTGTGCCCTGTCTGTAAAAATGGATCTGAGCCCTTTCTGTCATTCCCTTTGCCAGCTGCCTCCTGTCCAGCTCTGTCAGGAGAGGGCGTGGGGAGATAGTGCAGGGGGACCAGCAAGGTTCTGTCTGTTGGTCGCCATGCTCTGAGTGGGCGGGTGTCCCCAGCGCCGGGACCCTGCAGTGCAGAGCCACCACCGGCCCCCTGTGGCTGTCAGCTTCTCCCGGCACCCAGGTCTTTGGGTGGTATTGCAATGAAGTGCTCCCATGAGATGCTCCCTGTGAGGTGCTCCCCCCACACTCTAGAGGGTAGATTCTCAGCAAGTTCCACTGGCGTGAATTTTCTGCCCCCCCAGGGACGTGGCCATGACCCCCCAGCAGGGTCTGGGGCTCAGCTCGGGGGAGGGGAGGCGGCTCCTTGGGTGCTCCAGCTGGGCCCCGGGGGGCGGCTTCCCTTTACACCCTTATCTCCCTATTTTCTTTTGAGCTCTCTTTACTTACTAGTCAGTCCCTCGTTGCTCCAAATCTCGTAGTTAATTCTTTATATTAAACTTTCCCTGTTTAATTGCTGTGTTGTTTCTCTCTCCTGATTGGACCCAGACTCACACCCATGGGATGGGGGGCTCAGACTAGGGCTATTTGGCTATCAAGGGACCATGTCCCTAGAACACTGGGGACTTGGAGACGTTTGGGCTGTGTTTTTCCAATGTTGTACAATGATCATATTACCTGTGTAATAAGAAAAAAAAACATTTTAGAAGCGTGGAAAAATGCAATACAAGAAGCTGGGGCAATCATAGGAAAAAACCCAGTGTGGTAGGTCTGTGGCAGAAACAGGTAACACGTTAAATGGGAAAGCTACTCAGAGGCGCCCAGGCTTGAACTGAGCATTGAAAGGCTAGAGAAGGGGGAGGCATTCCCGGGGCGGAGCTGAGTGCACCCGCAGATGCAGGGCCAGGGAGAGGCCCCTGACAGGAAGGCACAGTCACCAGCTCGGTGTGCATAGAACCGGTGGCCACGGAAGGTGGGGAGCCAGGCCTGTCTGCTCACAGGAAACCCTGGGGCCTTCATTTAAAAACTGTGTGTGGGGAAATCGATGGCCTGTCTTTTAGACGGGCGGCAGCTGAAGGAATTTTCCTTGCAGATTCCCAATCTTCTCCAGCTCTCTCAGAGCCTAACTGCCCGAGGGCCCTGGCTGCTGCCTCTGAAATTCATCTCCGGGTTTGTGCCCGGGCCACTCTGCCCTCCTGACTGCTCCCAGCCAGTGACTGGCAGAGAGAAACAGACATGGATATGGGGCAGGTGGGTTCCGGGGAGAAGGGGGACCCCTATGAGGGGGAACTTGGACGGCAGGACTGGCAGAGGACCTGCCTTAGGTCAGCCGCAGGTGGGGCCGATTGCTCCCTCCCCCCTTCGCTGGGGGCAGACGTGCAGAAAGCCCGGCTCTGGCCCGGGCTCCCCCCGCGCCCCTCCCACCGAGCTCCACGGCCAGTTCCGCTAAGACAATCCCCACAGCGAGTCCTGCCTTGGCGCCTGCTTCTCGGAGGAGCCGCACGCGCACTGCCTGAGCCTTCCCTTCGCTCTCCCCTCCAGGAAAAGCCTTTGTGGAAGCAAGGGCAGCGGTCCCAGGGACACAGCCCTCGTTCCTGCTCTCCAGGGCCTCCGGGCCCACCTCCGCGCCCCTCCCCGGGCCCGCTGGGTCCCTCAGGTGTCTGCAATAAACCCGCAGCTCCTCCACCTGGAAAGGGCGAATTCTCCAGAACTCTCAGTCTCCACTCAGGTAGCACCTCGACCTCTCTGCGCCGTCTCCTGCCTGCCCACCGGACCTTAGACCCCGCCTGCTTCTGCCCCGGGTGCTCCCCGAGGAAACGTCGTCTCCACTGTGAGCTCTTGGGGGAAGGTCGTGGCTCTGCTTCGCACGCGCGTCCGATGGCAGCAGCAGCAGCAGCGCCCCGCTCAGGGTAGGCGCCGAACCAGTGCTTGCTGAGTTCGTGGCTTTGGTTAGTTGGGATGTCCTGACGAAAACGCAGGAAGCGAGGGTCGGGGGCGCCGGGGGCGCCCCGGGCGCGGCTCCGCGGGCGCGGCGGGGGGCTGGCGCTGGCCGCGGTTGGGGAGGAGGGGGCCCGGGCGAGGTAGCACGGGGTGGGCAGGGCGGAGCGGGGAGGAAGGCGGGCCGAACGGCCGGCCGGGGGGCGGGCTGGGGCCACTCTCGCCGGCACGGGCGCTGCTCGCTGGGCCAGGGGCTGTGTGGCCGCGGTCGCCGGAGGCTCCCCGCGGGCTCCCGAGGCGGACCGAGTGACCCCAGCAACTTCTCCAACTCCGCCCGGGCGCCTCCCACGTTCCATCGGGGCCCCGGCGCTGGGGGCGCGGCGGCGGGGCGGGAGCGGCCGGGTGGCCCGCGGGCGGCGGGTGCCCCGCGCCCGGTGCCCCGCGCGGGAGCGAAGGTAAGGGGCCCAGGGCGTGCGGCGGAGGGCGGGCCCCGGACCTGCCCCGAGCGGGCGCTGCTCCTGCGGCGGCGGCGGCGGCCTCCCCTGCGGGCGGGCCCGGCGCCGGCCGAGTCCCACCTCCTCTCCGCTTTGTTCGCCGCGCTCTCTCCTCCTTTCCTGGGAGGTGCGCGGAGGGTCGCGGCTGCGGAGCGCAGAGCCGGCGCGATCCCCGCGCGGAGTGGCAGCGCCCCGGCGCCTGGCCTGGCGGAGAAGTCGTTTAACACGCGGCGCCCTGCTGCCCACGCCCGCCGGCTCACCCCAGCTCTGCCCCGGCCTCCCGCGTAAGTGGGTCCCCGCCGCCACCCAGGCCGTCGCGGGTGCCGGGGGCGCAGCGCGCGGGGAAGGTGGTCCCGGCCAGGCGGCCGCTCAACTTTCAGAGCCGCGGGGACCCTGCCAAGCCCCCACCCAGCCCGCGGCCCTGCGGGGCGGTGGGACTTTGCGTGGCCCTGGGAAGGGGGAGAAGTCCCGCCGCGGCCGCCCGCCACCGCCCTCCACGGGCCCTGCTGTTGGGGGGTGGGGATGGGGGGCGGTGGTGCCAGGTTTCTGGGAAAGCCGACACGTTGTGTCCCAAATGGATCATATTTACTAAACACAGTTTAGGAAGAAAAGAGTCCATTCTTCCCACCATTGACGGCCGTCGGCCGCCGTCAAGGTGCGGGGGAGTAGGAAGACTGCACCGGGTGGCTTATCTTGAAGAAACGGGGAAACTTAATATGGGTGAGCTTCCCTGCCTCCTCTTTTCATTCAAAGTAGCAAAAACAGGGTGAATTTGCTGAACTGGGGGGAGAGGGGAAGGCGGCGTGGTCTTGAGGATAAT